CCCCCTCCTCCTACTCGTCTTCTTCCTCCTCCTCCACCCCCACTACTACTACTGCTACTACTACTACTACTACTACTACTACTACTACTACTACTACTACTACTACTACTACTACTACTGCGACCCCATTCGCGCCACATGAATCCAGAACTCCGAACGACGCTGGGCAACTCTAAACCGATCGAGCTAGGCAATTCTCACGGGGGGATCAGCCTCGGGGATGGCCTACTAGAGGCCGAACGCACCGAGGGCGGAACGCCGCCAGAGGACGGCAACGGGCCCGCGGGGCCCGAAGCGAGGGAGGGGCCCAACGCTGATCCCACCCGTCGGGAAAGCCCACCCCCCCGCCCGCAGGCGGCCCGCGCGGGCCGCGAGGCGCCTCCACTACCACCTACTTCTTGCCCAGCAGCTGCTTTGCCACGGGCCCTCTCGGGACCTTCCCAACCTTCCTGGAGCCGCCCCGCGCGCGCAGGATCACGCCGAGGGCGTGCTGGAGCTCCACGACCTTGGCGCCCTCGGGCACCGCCGGCGTCTCCAGCGGCGTCCGCTGGAGCACCTCCTCGTACTTGTCGTCTGTCGGTGCGCCTCCCCAGGCCCCCTGCTGGGCCTTGTTCAGCTTCTCCGCGTGTTTGCCCGCCGTCGCGACGAGCACGTGTCCTCGAATACTCATTATCAATATCACCTTCTTCACGTCGTACATCGGGCTGAATGTAAAATCCTTGATCCACTCGCTGGCGTCCTCGCTCTTGCCATGCTCGAGCATGCTGCGCGCTCTCGTCGGCAGGCCGATGTACTTCTTGACTTCGAGTGATGATGCCTCGGTCAACCAACTCTCGATATCGTCCAGAGCCCTGGAAAACAAGTGGAGCTCGGGTGGCCCGCGCTCGTGCTGGGGCCCGTCCTTCTTCACCTGCTCGAGGTAGGACTGGTGCTGAGCCTGGCAGCTCACCGCGAGGGGATGGTCCGCAGGGAGGTGGACCTGTGTCATGGTGTAATGCTCCTGTGTCCCCATGCGCGCCTCGAGCTGCACCAGCATCTTCTTGGCTACCACGTCGTCTGACTCTTTGGACTTGCCGCGCTTGGGGCCCTTCTCGCCCGTCGGCTGCGTCTCTCCCGTGATCAGCCACGGCGTCGAGCTCAAGGAGATGGCCGCCGGGATGCGCCGCAAGATGGGCGCCAAGAATGCGCCGCCGCAAGGCTTGAGGCTCATCAGCAGCATAGTCACACAGTCGGCATCGAGTCGCTTGCATTTTGACGAACGCCGACGATCGAGATCTATCTACGCACATCCCACGCCCCACTGCCGTACTCATGTGTTTCTGCGCCTGCGCATAAGAACGAAACACTGCACCGCAGATCGCGCGCTGGTTGCTGAAACAGCACGCTCGAAATATAACCTGTCGCCGATGGCCCCTCCACGCGCGCGCGCATAATGTGAGGCAAGACGCGTCTTGTCCACGAAGCGCGCCTAGCACGGGTCACCCTCATCGCCCACCGCCCAGCGTTGGTACAATCCTCCTTCCTCGAGCTCACCCCGCGCAGGCTCATACTGCGCACGATGTCGCATACAGTGCGCACGAAAGACCGAGAGCTCGAGTCGAATAACATCCTCACGTCCTTCCGCGATGGCCTTCATCGGCTTGAAATCGCATCGCTCCAAAAAAAAACCGCCCTCGGGGGTGTCGAGGGCCGCAATTTCAGAAAGCCACTGTCGAGCCCAGGGGTTCCCAATCTGCCACGCATCGCCCGACGCCGCGGGGCACACCTGGCCCCCGATTCGAAGATCACCAAAAACTACCCCAAAAACTTGTTCCGCAACAGCTGGCTCAGTTAAAAGATGTTGGAGCCACTTTAGCCGACGCATACGAGCTTCCACGAACAAGCTAGCCGACCCGAGCTTCACCAGAACCTCCGGATTCGCCAGGGACCTAACCGAGCCGTCGATCCTCTGGTTAGCGACGCCTCCAAGCACGCCCCGCGCACGACGCGCAAGAAACCCTTGGGGCCCCTGGAAGCCGTGGACATTCATGGGTCCATCATGCTTGGCGAACGCTTCGATGCCCGTCAGGATAACGTTTATGACGTGGCCCTTAAAAATCGAGATCTTCCTTTTCACGCTGACGTTCGATGTCCAGGCGTCCCACCAGCCCTCTGGGCGTCGGTGGTTTAGAGCGTTTCCTCTTCCCCCCTCCTTCTTCCCCTTCGGGGAGGGGTTTGCCCCCCCCCCCCCACCCCCTCCCCACTGACCTGGACAGGCGGGGGGGCGGGGGGCGCGGGTAGTTAGAGCGCCCAAGATGGCCCAACACGGCTCCAAGAAAGCCTCAGGGAGCTCAAAATGACCTCCAAGATGGCTCCAGATAGCGCAAGATGCCTCAAGATGGCCCCCATGATGTTCCAAGACGCCCCGAGAGCTTCCCAAAACGGTTCCAAGTGCTCACAAGAGCATCACTAGGATGCCTCCAAGAGGCCAAAATGCTTCAAAACCCCAAGTAAAAATCAATGGTTTTGGTGTTATATCTTTTTCGCTTGCGATGCGCATCCGAGGCGTCAAGATGGCTCTAAGATGGCTCAAGGTGGCTCGCTCCAAAAGGGGCCCAAGAAAGCCCCAAGACGGCGCCAAGAGCGGCAACGAACGCTCCAAGAGCACCCCAAGAGGGGTTCAGGGGGCGATTTTAAAGGCTCTACAAGGGCGACGCTAAAAAATGCTTCCGCTTTCTTTGCCAGATCCCCTCCAACATGGCCCTGCCAGCGCCTCTGAGGCCTCCAAGAGCGCTTCGAGAGCGCCCCAAACGACGCCCAAGAGGCCTCCAAGAGGCTCACAAGGTCGTCAAAGATGGGCGAAGACGGCTCCCTGAGAACCTCGGGAAGCCCAAGACACCTTCCAAGATGGCTGACGATTGCGCGACCTGCCTCAAGATGGCTCCGACGATGTTTCAAGACGTTCCAAGACAACTCCAAAACGATTCCAACAGGCTGGCTCAAGATAGCGCAACCTGCCTCAAGATGGCTCCGAAGATGTTCCAAGACGCTCCGAGACCGTCCCAGGACGATTCCAAGTGGCCATATGAGCTCTCCAGGATCCCCTTCCCCCTCGCCTACCTATTCTTCCTCCTCCGGCATCCCCCTCCCCGTCTTTCTCCTTTTTCCACATATTTACAGTATGTACCATCACTCTCTTCTTCTGTTCCTTATCCACCTTCCCGCCCCCTTTCTCTGCCTCTTCCTTTTCCTTTCAATTCGTCTTCCTCCCCAGTATCATCCTGCTGCTCGTTCTCCTCGTTCTCGCCGTCGTCGTCCTACTCGTCTTCGCCCTGCGCCATGCGATAATCACGCCAGCCCTCTGGGCGTCGGTGGTTTAGGGCGTTTCCTCTTCCACCCCCCCCTCTTCCCCTTCGGGGGGGGGGGGGAGGGCTCGCCCCTCCCCCTACCCCCTCCCCACTGACCTGGACAGGAGGGGCCGCGAGCGGTCAGAGCGTCCAAAACGGCCTCGGCGAGGAAGCCAAAACCATTGATTCTACTATGGTATGGGCACCAGCTTGGCCTCCTGGTGGGGGCAGCGCTAATTACAGCCCCCCTCTTCTTCGATCGAGTTCCTCCACGATGGCCGCAAGAAGCCCCCAGGATGCCCCAAGAGGCCGCAGGATGGCCCCAAGATGGCCCCAAGCGGCCCCCCAAGAGGCCCCCAGGAGGCCCCTAAGAGACCCCCAAGGGGCCCCAAGAGACCCCCAGAGGCACCCAGGGTGCTCCCAGAGGCCTCGGCGACAATGTCAAACCATTGTTTGCACTAAGGTTTTAGCCAATTTTTGGCACTCTGGGGGGGGGGGGTTCTGGGGGGGGGGGGGGGGGGGGGGGGGGGCACTGATTAAGATGACTCCAAGAGCGCCTCGGAGAGCCCAGAATGACCTCCAAGATGGCTCAAGAAATCCCAAGATGTCTCATACTGGCTTCCTCTGAGTGCTGCCCACTTCCCTGATCGAGGCAATCCCACCAGCCCTCTGGGCGTCGGTGGTTTAAGGCGTTTCCTCTTCCACCCCTCCCTTTTTCCCTTCCGGGACGGGTTTACCCCTCCCCCTTACCCCCTCCCCGTGGACCTGGGCGGGGGGGGGGGGGGGTGGGGGGCAAGAGCGGCCAGAGCGTCCAAAACGGCCTTCGGCAGAGGAAAGCCAAAATCATGAGTGCATAGATGTTGGCCATTTTGCCCTCCTGATGGGGGGCAAAGAGGCCCCAACAAGGCCCTTGACGCCAACCCAATGGCCCCAAGATTGGCCCCAAGATGGCCCTAAGATGCCCCAAGGGAGGCCACGAAGAAGGCCCACGAGCACAACCCCCCCCCCCCCCCCCCCAAGCCCCCCCCCCCCCCCCCCCCCCTCCCCCCCCCCCCCCCCCCCCCCACCCCCCCCCCCCCCCCCCCCCCCCCCCCCCCCCCCCCCCCCCCCCCCCGAAGCACCCAAGACGCAGAAAAGCCCCTCAGGACGACCCTCTACTCGCATGGGCGTCGTTTCTGGACGGGCTGGTGGGGATACGCGAAGCGTCTAGAATTGCCCATCATTCCCCACGCAGCCTCCCCCGCCTGGATACGATACCCCGTTTCGACCGCGATCGAGAACCTTGCAGCGAGCCGCGCCCCAAGATACCGAGCAGCAGCAGCGCTCTGTCCCTGGAAGACCTGGTTCCTGAAGCTTCCCACCCCGCAGCAATACGGGGCTGTTTCTTGCTTGCTTATATGTTTTGCTTCAGCCCCATATCCCCCGACATGTTCGTCACCTTCTCGTTTTGGTCAGCTCCACGGTCTTGTGCCTGCTGCCGATTGCGAAATCTAAACGCATCCGCAATATCACCCACAATACGGGTACTGGCGGCCTGGGTTGCCTGCCCCGTCCACGGTGAAAACAACCTCTAAGTTCTGACATTCAGCCTGGGCGTACTCTTCGAGCCCCATCGCGTACGCCATGACCAAGAGGAAAACCATCACGGGGTCGCCTGGCACGCAGCCCTCACCCATCAGCAAGAGGCGATCCGACTCGCCGTCGAAGTTGAAGTGGGCCCACTTCACTCTGTCCAACCTCAGAGGTACATGTCGGGAATGAACTCGCTGCAGGACGATTTGGTTCAGCCTGCCCGTCTTGATCAAATAGAACGCGTTCGCTGCATCATGCAGGCGACGGGCGTGCTGGTATCCATGATGATTGAGCCTGCAGGCGCTGCGCATCTGGACCACAATCGCTCCTTCCCGCCGCCGGTGTCTGATGGCTCCGTAAGCCCAACAAGGCGCGTTCTCGGCGTCCGCGGGCATGAGCATCGCGCGGCAGTGGAACCTCGCCGAGCTGCAGATCATCATCACCACCCTCTCGCCATCTACGCCCTCCTTCTCGTTGCCCATGCCAATCATGGCCGCGCGAGCACGCGCCCATAGGAGAGGGGCCCGCTGAGTGCGGAGGGTGCCCTCGACGAGCGTCCACAAGAACGCGTGGAACGTAGGCGTGGCGAGATTCTCGAGCTCCGACTCATAGCCAAGCCCTTGTCTACGATGCATCATACGCTTCTTATACCACTGGGGGAACATCGTGACTCTCAGCAACTCCGTCGACGAACTCCACTCGGGACATGATCTCCAAAGTTTGGCTCGCCATGCCGCTGAACGAAGCTGCCTCACCTCCTCGCCGATCTCCTCCTGCGTGACAATCATGGACCTCGGATAGTCTCGCATGTCCCGCAGCTGGTTCTCGTCATATTCAGTCGCCGAGCACCCGCCCTCGCATCCCTTCAGCTTCACGCGCGTGATCCAGTCCTCAGTAGCCCCAGGGATGGCGTGGAGCCCAAGGACTCGCTTGCGACCGCCATGGTTGCGCTGTGCAAGAAGCCGTGCAAGCTTGTGGGCTGTGAACGTGTCGTTCGCCTTCGCAGCCTTCATAGACTCCTCGCATCTCAGCTCGGTTACCTCGCTCCAGTATGCTCGCTTCCGCTGTGTCAACCACCTGCTCACAACCTTCAATCGAAACGTAAATATGCTGATCTCTCGAGCTGCGTACATCTGCTCATGTGTGAAGCCTTGCTCAGCCAACTCTCGATATCGTTCAGATCAAAAAAAAACTCACCATACTCATATCAATATCTCCTTCACGTCGTACATCGCTAAGTAAAGCCTTTGATCCACTCGCTAGCTGTCGATTCGAACGCTCATACTCACTGGTTGCCTCAGAAAGAATACCCCTGTCAATCTCACCTTTACTTCGTACATCGCCGTCGGTACCTGACCCCCCTACCCCAGCGGCGGCGATGTCCGCCGCGTCGTTGATCGCTTGCTGGTACGGGGCCTCGCTAACTTTGCCAACTTGAACTGCCACCTTCACATCTACACACTCACGAATTGAAACACGTCGCTCACGTAGCTCACGGCGCTGTCGAAGTAGCTGCCTGGCTTCTCGCGTATGCTCAGCATGATCCTCTACGTAGCCGACGGTGCTCTGGCAGTGCTGCTCAGCGCCTGCCTTGATCGCTTCGTGGAGCGCTGCATTGGCAAAATCGGGGATCTCGCGCCATGGCAGCGCTCGTAGCTGTTGGAAGTGCCGTCGTAGTTGCGCCTCTACTGTCGCCACAAACTCAGGCCGTCGGTCACCGAACTGGAGCATCTTCGCGATCATCTCTCTGTTGATCTGTGTCCGCTTGATCGGCTCGTATGGCTGTCCTATGATGTCGATGTCGAAACATGCACCCAGCGGAAGATGGTCCCACAACGCACTCTGGTTGTGCAGCTGAAGTCGCCAGGCCGATCGTGTCAGTGTCCTGCACCACATCGTAGCCTTGTGCCACCCCTGCGGTACAATGATGTAGTCGAGCGTCTTTACCACACCCCTGTTGTAGTAGGTGGGGCCGCCCGTCGGGAAAAAGGTGCTCATGGCGCACAGGCTTTGCGCTCGAAGACACGGTGCCAACATCTCGCTTGTGCAGTTGAATTCGTGCAAGTGATATCTGCCCGTGACATGTGGGGTCTCCACGAACTGACTGTTCAAGTCGCAGCAGAGTACTGGTGACCAGCGTGCGCTTGTGACCCTCTTGGGCCGTCTTGGGCACCTCTTGGGCCGTCTTGGCGCCGTCTTGGGCGTTTTGGATGCCTCTTGGGAGCCTCTGGGGCCGTCTTGGGGCGGTCTTGGGGGCCTCTTGGACCGTCTTCAACGCAGTGGAAGCCGCCGGAAACCCGTGTATATTAAAAATGCACATTTTCCCCAAAAAAAAAAATGAGTTTGGCCTCCTGATGGTCTCGCCGGACGCCTCTTAGGGGCCTCTTGGGGCTTCTTTGGGGGCTGTGGGGGCCTCCCGGGAGCGTCTTGGGGCGATCGGCTAGACTTGTCGGTTCGTGGTCCCCCTCTTGGGGCCGTCTTGGGGCCCTCTTGGGCCGTCTTGGGCGCCTCTTGGGCCGTCTTGGGTCCCTCTTGGGCCGTTTTGGGCGCCTCTGGGGAGCCTCTGGGGCTTCTTGGGGGCCTTTTGGGCCGTCGTCAACGCCATGAAAAGCGAAAAGCCGTAGATGCCACAAATCTACGTTTGCCTCGGGAATATCGGACTTTGGCCTCCTGGGGCCCTCATGGGACGCCCCTTGGGCGCCTCTTGGGGGCCTCTTGGGGGCATCTTTGGCCGTCTTGGGCAGTCTTGGGCTCTCTTGGAGCGCTCTTCGGCCGCCTGGAAGGAGAATCCGAAAAACCTGGCCCGGCACAGAAACGGAAAGAGCGCTTCAGAAACAGAAACCGAAATTACTCACACCACCGTTCGTACTGGGAGCCTTGGCGTTGAGAGCTTGTTACGTCACCCCTCGCTCTTGGGAGCCTTGGTGTTCAGAGATTGTTGCGTTGCCGCCCGTTCCTGAGCCTTGGCTGGGCCTTGGTGTCAGGAACTTGTTACGTCACCGCTCTCTGCTGGGAGCCTTGGTCTTATCAGCTTGTTTACGTCACCGTTCGCTCTTGGGAGCCTTGGTGTGAAGAGCTTTTTGCGTTACCGATCGCTCTCTATTTGGCGTCTCTGGGCCTTCTTGGGAGTCCTATTGGGGCCCTTGTCGGGCCCTTTTGGAGGCCTCTTGGGAACCTCTTGGGGGCCTCTTGGGGCTTCTTGGGGGGCTCTGGGGGCCTCCTGGGAGCGTCTTGGGGCGAAAGGCTAAACTTTTCGGTTCGTGGTCCCCTCTTGGGGCCGTCTTGGGGCCCTCTTGGGCCGTCTTGGGCGCCTCTTAGGCCGTCTTGGCGCCCTCTTGGGCCGTTTCGGGGGCCTCTTGGGAGCCTCTTGGGCCGTCCTGGGGCGGTCTTGGGAGCCTCTTTTTTTTTGCCCGCAACACTTCAAGGCGGTAGTGTGAATCCAAGACTGATAAAACAAAGAAGCTGCCAGAGACGTGCCCAACAACTTCCCCACGCGAGGCAAATATTCATATAAGCGTTCCATGCGCAAGCAACACATCGGCAGACACGCACGATTTGCGCTGCCTTCACCTTCGTCAGGCCTCCCAGGAGACCCCAAAACTGGCGACGGCTGCGTAATGCGCAGTTCCCGAGGGAGCCGCGAGGTCTCCAATGAATATGCGGTGCCCTCACCACCGCCAACCGCCCCGGCCCCCCCCCCACACTAGTTGTGAGAATAGAAAGTGAAGCGAACCTTCCTTGTGCTCAGCGGAACTTCGAAGCTTCGTCGAGTCCAGCGAAACTTCAAGCGCAAGCAAGAGTAAGGCATAGAAAATGGAGCGAAGCTTCCTCGCAGAACTTTAAGCTCAAGCAGGAGTAAGATATAGAAAATGGAGCGAAGTTTCCTCGCGGAGCTTCAAGCTCAAGTTAATGTGAAGGGGAGCCCCAGGTTCCCGTGGGCATGCATAAAGTTGGTTTTTCTTTCTACGGTCCAGGCGGCGCCAGAACATCGCTTCGCTCGGATCCTGGAAACCATGCAGAGCAGCTACCTCAGAGAAACAGAATCGTCAAGGTGTTGGAGACCACGAGCAAAGCGGAAGCGCTGCCCACATACGTGCCGTCACGGGCCGGCATGCAAGAAAAGCTCAACACTGCACAGTGCTTCGGGAACCATCGCTGTAGCCTCTGTTTCCAACGAGGTGCGAAGGGGGAGCTGCGCAACTTGAGCGAGAGGGCGGGCAGGGAGAACGGCGAGGGGAAGGGCGAGGGGAGGGAGGGGGGGAGGGAGGAAAGCAGGAAAACCCACCCGATGGGAGGCAAAAGCGAAGAAGAGAAGCGGAGAAGCACAAGAAGCAAAAGGAAGGGAGGGGAAGAGAGAGAGGTGCTCCAGGAACAGTGCGATGCGATACTCTGGCTCACAATCTAGGGGTCCATGATGGATCGAGCCCCTCTGAACCTGCTTTGAAACTGGGCCGCTTTGGGCCGCTTTCGTCCAACTAGCACGGGCGGGTCAGCGTTCCGCGGTTGAACTTGACCCCGGGGCTTTCTCCGGCAGGAGCTCTTCACCCGGACCCTCGCCCGCGTCGGCCGGCGCCTGGGCCGCGCCCCAGCGCCTGAGCGCCACCGCGGCCACTCCGAGCACAGCGACAGCAGCTGCTCCGAGGGCCGCGAGAGCAGCCGCTACCGCGGCCCCTGAAGACCCCCGCCCGGCCGACACCGGGCCGTCCTTCAGGAGCCTCGCGCCGCCCTCCTCCTCCCGGGCCGCGCACACGCCGCACACGAACTGCACTCGTTCGCCATGATCTCGTGGACCTTGCTGCAGCTGACCTCCTCGCTGGGATCCGAGCTGTCGCCGCCAGCGCCGAGCTCCACGAGGGCCTGCTGGAAGAGCTCGCAACACGATGTGCCGTCGCACTCTGCTAAGAAGTCGCTCTCCGTGCACTCGATCTCGCAGCCACTGCCCCGGCGCTCGCACGCAGGCGCCGCAGCGGGATCCGTGACGGGATCCGCGACGTCACTGCCGGGGCACGGAGGTTGGACGGCGCCGTCGCCCTCGCACTTGCAGAAACGTTGAACAGATCCCCCAGCAGTCTTATGACATTCCGTCGTCGTGTACTCGACCATCTCAAAGCACTTGCCTGTAGAACCATCGGGCTCTGGCATGTAGTTTGGAGCAACTGAGTTGGTTGTACCCCATGTGGCACACTCGAGGCAAATCACGCTTGCCACATCTTTCTGGGATATCGTCTCCGTAGTCCAGTCAAGGACGACACAAGTCAACGACACGGCGTGTGCACGTAGCGCCTTTCTCGGCAAGGTACCACACCTCCGTGGCCCTGGAGACGGCCAGCGCGGCAACTGCGATTATCTTCGCAGCAAAACCCATGGGTCTGAGGCTGCTGGAGCCGAGGGGTACGATGATTCTCGGCGCGGTCTCAAAAACGCTTGAGAGCCACAAGGGATTGAGCCAGGATGGCTTGAGCCAAAATGACTTGAGCCAAAATGGCTACGGACGGTCTTGGGAGCCTCTTGGAGCGTCTTCAACGTAGTGAAAGCCGAAAAGCCTTGTATGCTAAAAATGTACACATTCCCATAGGAAATCAATGATTTTCGCCTCCCGGTGGCCTCTTGGGACGCCTCTTGGGGGCCTCTTGGGGCTTCTTGGGGGGCTCTGGGGGCCTCCTGGGAGCGTCTTGGGGCGAAAGGCTAGACTTTTCGGTTCGTGGTCCCCCTCTTGGGGCCGTCTTGGGGCCCTCTTGGGCCGTCTTGGGCGCCTCTTGGGCCGTCGTGGGTCCCTCTTGGGCCGTTTTGGGCGCCTCTGGGGAGCCTCTGGGGCTTCTTGGGGGCCTCTTGGGCCGTCGTCAACGCCATGAAAAGCGAAAAGCCGTAGATGCTACAAATCTACGTTTGCCTCGGGAATATCGGACTTTGGCCTCTTGGGGCCCTCTTGGGACGCCCCTTGGGCGCCTCTTGGGGGCCTCTTGGGGGCATCTTTGGCCGCCTTGGGCGGTCTTGGGCTCTCTTGGAGCGCTCTTCGGCCGCCTGGAAGGAGAATCCGAAAAACCTGGCCCGGCACAGAAACGGAAAGAGCGCTTCAGAAACAGAAACCGAAATTACTCACACCACCGTTCGTACTGGGAGCCTTGGCGTTGAGAGCTTGTTACGTCACCCCTCGCTCTTGGGAGCCTTGGTGTTCAGAGATTGTTGCGTTGCCGCCCGTTCCTGAGCCTTGGCTGGGCCTTGGTGTCAGGAACTTGTTACGTCACCGCTCTCTGCTGGGAGCCTTGGTCTTATCAGCTTGTTTACGTCACCGTTCGCTCTTGGGAGCCTTGGTGTGAAGAGCTTTTTGCGTTACCGATCGCTCTCTATTTGGCGTCTCTGGGCCTTCTTGGGAGTCCTATTGGGGCCCTTGTCGGGCCCTTTTGGAGGCCTCTTGGGAACCTCTTGGGGGCCTCTTGGGGCTTCTTGGCGGGCTCTGGGGGCCTCCTGGGAGCTTCTTGGGGCGAAAGGCTAAACTTTTCGGTTCGTGGTCCCCCTCTTGGGGCCGTCTTGGGGCCCTCTTGGGCCGTCTTGGGCGCCTCTTAGGCCGTCTTGGCGCCCTCTTGGGCCGTTTTAGGGGCCTCTTGGGAGCCTCTTGGGCCGTCCTGGGGCGGTCTTGGGAGCCTTTTTTTTGCCCGCAACACTTCAAGGCGGTAGTGTGAATCCAAGACTGATAAAACAAAGAAGCTGCCAGAGACGTGCCCAACAACTTCCCCACGCGAGGCAGATATTCATGTAAGCGTTCCATGCGCAAGCAACACATCGGCAGACACGCACGATTTGCGCTGCCTTCACCTTCGTCAGGCCTCCCAGGAGACCCCAAAACTGGCGACGGCTGCGCAATGCGCAGCTCCCGAGGGAGCCGCGAGGACTCCAATGAATATGCGGTGCCCTCACCACCGCCAACCGCCCCGGCCCCCCCCCCCCACACTAGTTGTGATAATAGAAAGTGAAGCAAACCTTCCTTGTGCTCAGCGGAACTTCAAAGCTTCGTCGAGTCCAGCGAAACTTCAAGCGCAAGCAAGAGTAAGGCATAGAAAATGGAGCGAAGCTTCCTCGCAGAACTTCAAGCTCAAGCAGGAGTAAGATATAGAAAATGGAGCGAAGCTTCCTCGCGGAGCTTCAAGCTCAAGTTAATGTGAAGGGGAGCCCCAGGTTCCCGTGGGCATGCATAAAGTTGTTTTTTCTTTCTACGGTCCAGGCGGCGCCAGAACATCGCTTCGCTCGGATCCTGGAAACCACGTAGAGCAGCTACCTCAGAGAAACAGAATCGTCAAGGTGTTGGAGACCACGAGCAAAGCGGAAGCGCTGACCACATACGTGCCGTCACGGGCCGGCATGCAAGAAAAGCTCAACACTGCACAGTGCTTCGGGAACCATCGCTGTAGCCTCTGTTTCCAACGAGGTGCGAAGGGGGAGCTGCGCAACTTGAGCGAGAGGGCGGGCAGGGAGAACGGCGAGGGGAAGGGCGAGGGGAGGGAGGGGGGGAGGGAGGAAAGCAGGAAAACCCACCCGATGGGAGGCAAAAGCGAAGAAGAGAAGCGGAGAAACACAAGAAGCAAAAGGAAGGGAGGGGAAGAGAGAGAGGTGCTACAGGAACAGTGCGATGCGATACTCTGGCTCACAATCTAGGGGTCCATGATGGATCGAGCCCCTCTGAACCTGCTTTGAAACTGGGCCGCTTTGGGCCGCTTTCGTCCAACTAGCACGGGCGGGTCAGCGTTCCGCGGTTGAACTTGACCCCGGGGCTTTCTCCGGCAGGAGCTCTTCATCCGGACCCTCGCCCGCGTCGGCCGGCGCCTGGGCCGCGCCCCAGCGCCTGAGCGCCACCGCGGCCACTCCGAGCACAGCGACAGCAGCTGCTCCGAGGGCCGCGAGAGCGGCCGCTACCGCGGCCCCTGAAGACCCCCGCCTGGCCGACACCGGGCCGTCCTTCAGGAGCCTCGCGCCGCCCTCCTCCTCCCGGGCCGCGCACGCCGCACACGAACTGCACTCGTTCGCCATGATCTCGTGGACCTTGCTGCAGCTGACCTCCTCGCTGGGGTCCGAGCTGTCGCCGCCAGCGCCGAGCTCCACGAGGGCCTGCTGGAAGAGCTCGCAACACGATGTGCCGTCGCACTCTGCTAAGAAGTCGCTCTCCGTGCACTCGATCTCGCAGCCACTGCCCCGGCGCTCGCACGCAGGCGCCGCAGCGGGATCCGTGACGGGATCCGCGACGTCACTGCCGGGGCACGGAGGTTGGACGGCGTCGTCGCCCTCGCACTTGCAGAAACGTTGAACAGATCCCCCAGCAGTCTTATGACATTCCGTCGTCGTGTACTCGACCATCTCAAAGCACTTGCCTGTAGAACCATCGGGCTCTGGCATGTAGTTTGGAGCAACTGAGTTGGTTGTACCCCATGTGGCACACTCGAGGCAAATCACGCTTGCCACATCTTTCTGGGATATCGTCTCCGTAGTCCAGTCAAGGTCGACACAAGTCAACGACACGGCGTGTGCACGTAGCGCCTTTCTCGGCAAGGTACCACACCTCCGAGGCCCTGGAGACGGCCAGCGCGGCAACTGCGATTATCTTCGCAGCAAAACCCATGGGTCTGAGGCTGCTGGAGCCGAGGGGTACGATGATTCTCGGCGCGGTCTCAAAAACGCTTGAGAGCCACAAGGGATTGAGCCAGGATGGCTTGAGCCAAAATGACTTGAGCCAAAATGGCTACGGACGGTCTTGGGAGCCTCTTGGAGCGTCTTCAACGTAGTGAAAGCCGAAAAGCCTTGTATGCTAAAAATGTACATATTCCCATAGGAAATCAATGATTTTCGCCTCCCGGTGGCCTCTTGGGACGCCTCTTGGGGGCCTCTTGGGGCTTCTTGGGGGGCTCTGGGGGCCTCCTGGGAGCGTCTTGGGGCGAAAGGCTAGACTTTTCGGTTTGTGGTCCCCCTCTTGGGACCGTCTTGGCGCCCTCTTGGGCCGTCTTGGGCGCCTCTTGGGCCGTCGTGGGGCCCTCTTAGGCCGTTTTGGGGGCCTCTTGGGAGCCTCTTGGGCCGTCTTGGGGCGGTCTTGGGGGCCTCTTGGGCTGTCGTCAACGCCGTGAAAGCCGACAAAGCGCATATGCTAAAGATATACGTTTTCCGATGGAAAATCTATGATTTCGGCCTCTTGGGGCCCTCTTGGGACGCCACTTGGGCGCCTCTTGGGGGCCTCTTGGGGGCCTCTTGGGGGCCTCTTGGGGGCCTCTTGGGGGCCTCGTGGGCCGTCTTGGGGGGGAAACCCGAAAAACATGCAAAAACCCTAGGGAAAACCCGAAAACGGCCATTAACACGCAGTTGCGCACGCTACCCCCTCCCCTGAACCCCTCCCTTTAGGGCTTCGCCCACACCAGAACGTCATAACTCGTACCTCGCTCTTTCCGTTACATGCAAAAACCCTAAGGAAAACCCCAAAATAGGGCCATTAGACCCCCCGTCCGGGCCTCGCACCCCCCCTTGACCCCCCCTAAGAAGGGCTTCGCCCCCTGCTCAACGTCACTCGCTCGTACCTCGCTCTTTCCGTCACCTCGGGAGTGGGGCTGCCCTGGACTCGGCCAGGGTCATGATTGGGTACGTGCACTATCCTAGGCCCCCATCCAGGGACCCAATGACGCGACCGTTTAGGTTGCCACAGGGATCCCCAACACCGACCCGCTGGTGTCACCCTTGGGAGGGGGCCACCTATGCCTCGGACAAGCTCCTCCGGCATCCCATGAGGACCGAAGTGTGGGAAACGTTTCCAGTCACTTGAAGACCGAACTATGTTTGCACCCCCCGTGTGGCGGACAACTCGTCCCCACCTGGGAACGCACATTGGTGCTTGAAGTCGGCACCAATGTGGACACAACATGGGGCTCACATTTACATACACTGCGGCACATCATGCTTGGGTCCGTCGTTCGTCGTCCCCTCATGATGGGACGTCTGACCCACGTGTGTTGACCCCCCTGGTCACGGTGCTACAAGGCAGAGGTGGCTGCCACAGGGAATGCGCTTCACGCATATCACCCGATTACCGGGTGCCAACATCGAGCACCTATTTCAAGGGTGGGAGAGCCCAAGTGCCCCATCCGATTCAAAAGGGTTACGCCGACCCTGAAGGGCATCAGCACTACACTGCAATCCTCCTGCTCCCTTCCTCCCCCTCCTTCTCCTCCTCCTCCGCCTCCTCCGCCTCTTCCTCCTCCTCCTCCTCCACCTCTTGTCAAAGCTCTTACCGTCGTTTCTCCGCCCCATCTCTCCAGCAGCATGCGCCTCTGCACCTCCCTCGCCCGCCAGCTCCGCAGGGCGCCGGCGGCGTGCAAGAAGCTGAGGCGCAGGTCGCGGGCCTCGAGGGGGAACGATAGAGACGACGACGACGACGACGACGACGACGACGACGACGACGCCGACGACGACGACGACGACGACGACGACGACGACGACGACGACGACGACGAGGTGACGCCTCGCGCTCGAAACCTCGCGGTCGAGGGGGGGGGAACTGCTCAGGAGGGGGGCAACACCGATAGATCGCTTCGAGATTCGACGCTTTCGGACGTTTTTTAAGGGGCTCTGGGACACACGAATAGATAGACACAAATAACAGGATTCCCCATATTGCCCCATATCTTCTGGGTGTTCGTCTTCCCCCCCATTTCCCATATTTTCCCATATGTTTCTGGAGATCGACGATGAATTATGTCTGTGTGTTTCTTTCCCTCCTGAATGTTCGCGGATCCTCGGCGGCCCTCCCGCCTCGGGATTGCCTTCCCCGGCGGCTGCGCCCAGCCGAGGGCGTTTTCAGAAGGGGGCACCCCGTCGCCCGGAGCGGCCACCAGGGACCCGGGCGCTGCGCCTGGGGGGGGGGGGGACTGGCTGGGGTGGGCAGGGATTTGGGTGACCCAAAAGGGGGTCCAGCTGAAAGGGGGTGGTGCAGTAGATTTTGGGCAAATGTATTGCACATGTATTGCGCCGGAGAATTAGTGCATTGTATTGCAAGTAATGCATTGCACGCGAAAATCCAGCAATACATTTGCGACCCCGAATGTGTGGAACGCCCCAAATGTATTGTAACCCCACAAATCTATTGCACCAAATCTATTGCACCACCCCCTTGTCGCTGGACCCCCTTTTGGGTCAACCCGAAGGGACATCGACCTGGCGTCGGCGATGCATCGCCGGTAGATCGGCGAGGGGCCCCCGACGGCGAAGCCGCACATTTCTAAGCGGGGTGGGCCATCGGGCCCTCCCGCTCCATCGGCGAGGAGCGCGCGACGGGGGGGGTCGATGCATCCCCCCTGAGCCTATGCCCTGGTGGTTTGCGGGCCATAGCTCGGGCCTCCGGGGCCCGTTCGGGACGATCGGGACACCCCCAGAACGCCCTCGGCGAGACGCAGCCGCTGCAAGGCGTCCTGGGGCTGCAGAACCTCGGGGAACTGACGGAAACGACAGAAAAAGCCTCGAGCGCCACTCGTCCACGACGAGTGAGCGAGCGGGGGTCGATGCGCCCCTCCCTGCGACTATCCCTCCCTGGCGCTGCCGCTGCCCCTGAGGCCTCCGTGAACAGCGGGCGGCTGCAGCAGCCGCCCCCCTCGGCGTAGGCCGAGATCGCGTCGTCGATCTTCATGTCGCTGAGTAGGAACATGTTGTCGCGGGCCTCTGACGGGTCGACCCACCTCATCGATTGTTGATGACCCCTGCTTGCTGATGTGCCGACCCCATCTAACTGGGCCGACACCATCATGCTGAGCAGGAACTTGCTGGTGGGCCCCACACACGGCCAGAGGTGGCCCAGAGGGGGCCCCCAGAGGGGGAACTCGAACTTGCATGTCGCGCTCTCTGCCCAAGGGTGACCCCCGACACGGCCAGCAGGTCCCCAAAGGGGCCTTGCAAAGCCCCAGGGGGCTCCAAGAGGCCCAAATCAAGCCGCCAGACGCCTCCAACAGGCCCTGCAAGCCCCAGTACATGGTCAGAACCGCCTCCAAGAGGCTTCCGAGAGACCTCCGAAGATCCCTATAGGCATCCAAGAGGCCTCTCACCTACAACCTAGACACGGTGGCGGGATGGGCCGAATGCCACTAGATCCGCCGCCCCCTGTCGATTCATCGCAGGGGTGCCTGGCGTGCTAGATCCTCTCGGCTTTGGTTTTGGTTCTTTTTCCAAAAGAACTCTCCCAATGGGTTTCGGCCCGTCCCGCCGGGGTCCCGGGATTTTTTCCAAGGACCTCAATTCCCTACTTTTCTGCCCAAGACGGCTCCAAGATGGCCTCCAAGATGGCCAAGATGGCCCAAGATGGCCTCCAAGATGGTCCAAGATTGCCTCCAAGTCCGCCCAAGATGGTCCAAGGTGGCCTCCAAGACGGCCCAAGAGAGTCCAAGACGGCCCCAAGACGGCCCAAGAGGCCCCCCAGAGGCCTCCCAGACGGCCCAAGAGGCCTCCAAGAGGTCCTCCAGGAGGGCCCGAAGAGGCCAAAATCATTGATTGTCCATTGGTTTTTGAAGGATTTTGGAATTTGCCTCTTCTCTGCATTCCGACGGCTCAAGACGGCCCAAGAGGCCCCCAAGATCGCCCAAAAGGCTCCCAAGAAGGCCCCATGACGGCCCAAGTGGCCTCCAAGATGGCCCCAAGAGGGCCCCAAGAGGCCTCCAACAAGCCCAAGATGGCCTCCAAGACGCCCAAGATGGCCTCCAAGAGGGCCCCGAACCGCCTCAAGAGGGTCCCCCGTTGGCCCAGAAAGGCCCCCGAGACGGCTCCCGACGGCGTCAGTCGTGCCAGGAGCCCACCAAGATGGCCAAAGTTGGCTCGAAACTTGCCCAAAAGGGCCCAAGAGGCCCCCAAGAGGGCCTCCAGGAAGGCCAGAAGAGGCCTAAAACATTGATTTTCCTTAGGTTGTTGACGGATTTTGACATTTCCTTCTTTTCGGCTTTCCGACGGCCCGAGACGGCCCAAGAGCCCCCAAAGATCGCCGAAAGATCGCCCAAGAGGCCTCCAAGACGGCCAAGATGACATTCAAGATGCCCACGTGTTCCCCGAAGGCTTTCCAAACCGATTCGGGGTACACATGGTCCGATGGCTTGTCAGGTCTGGCCTCAACGTTCGGCCACATAGGCGCTTCCACAAAGGCAGGGGGCGGCGGTGATTCGCCGCAGGCATCTTCGATCCGCCGCCCCCTTTTGCTTTAGCAAAGGGGTGCCCGGCGTGCTGGACCCTCTCGGTTTTGGTTTGGTTCTTTTTCCAAAAGAAGTCTCCCTGGGGCTCCAGCACGTCCCGCCGGGGTCCCGGGATTTTTTCCAAGGACCTCAATTCCCTTTTCTGCCCAAGACGGCTCCAAGATGGCCTCCAAGATGGCCAAGATGGCCCAAGATGGCCTCCAAGATGACCTCCAAAATGGTCCAAGATGGCCTCCAAGTCCGTCCAAGATCGTACAAGACGGCCTCCAAGACGGCCCAAGAGAGTCCAAGACGGCCCCAGACGGCCCAAGAGGCCCCCCAGAGGCCTCCAAGACGGCCCAAGAGGCCTCCAAGAGGTCCTCGAGGAGGGCCCGAAGAGGCCAAAATCATTGATTGTCCATAGGTTTTTGCAGGATTTTGGAACTTGCCCCTTCTCGGCATTCCGACGGCTCAAGACGGCCCAAGAGGCCCCCAAGATCGCCCAAAAGGCCCCCAAGAGGGCCCCATGACGGCCCAAGTGGCCTCCAAGATGGCCCCAAGAGGGCCCCAAGACGGTCCAAGAGGCCTCCAACACGCCCAAGATGGCCTCCAAGACGCCCAAGATGGCCTCCAAGAGGGCCCCGAACCGCCCCAAGAGTGTCCCCCGTTGGCCCAGAAAGACCCCCAAGACGGCTCCCGACGGCGTCAGACGTGCCAGGAGCCCACCAAGATGGCCAAAGTTGGCTCGAAGCTGGCCCAAGACGGCCCAAGAGGCCCCCAAGAGGGCCTCCAGGAAGGCCTGAAGAAGGCCTAAATCATTGATTTTCCTGAGGTGTTTGACGGATTTTGACATTTCCTTCTTTTCGGCTTTCCGACGGCCCGAGACGGCCCAAGAGCCCCCAAAGATCGCAGAAAGATCGCCTAAGAGGCCTCCAAGACGGCCAAGATGACCTTCAAGACGCCCACGTGTTCCCCGAAGGCTTCCCAAACCGATTCGGGGAACACATGGTCCGATGGCTTGGCAGGTCTGGCCTCAACGTTCGGCCACATAGGCGCTTCCAAAAAGGCAGGGGGCGGCGGTGATTTGCCGTAGGCGTCTTCGATCCGCCGCCCCATGTCGATTCATCGCAGGGGTGCCTGGCGTGCTGGATCACTTCGGTTTTGGTTTTGGTTCTTTTTCCAAAAGAACTCCCCCTGGCGCTTCGGCCCGTCCCGCCAGGGTACCGGGAGGCTCTTCCAGGAGCGCAAACTCCACGCAAAATCCTCCCTGAAACGTCCGTTTCGCTCGGGACTTCCTCAAACAATCGCGAAGATGGCCCAAGATAGCCTCCAAGTCCGCCCAAGATGGTCCAAGACGGCCTCCAAGACGGCCCAAGAGAGTCCAAGACGGCCCAAGACGGCCCAAGAGGCCCCCCAGAGGCCTCCCAGACGGCCCAAGAGGCCTCCAAGAGGTCCTCCAGGAGGGCCCGAAGAGGCCAAAATCATTGATTGTCCATTGGTTTTTGAAGGATTTTGGAATTTGCCCCTTCTCGGCATTCCGACGGCTCAAGACGGCCCAAGAGGCCCCCAAGATCGCCCAAAAGGCCCCCAAGAGGGCCCCATGACGGCCCAAGTGGCCTCCAAGATGGCCCCAAGAGGGCCCCAAGACGGTCCAAGAGGCCTCCAACACGCCCAAGATGGCCTCCAAGACGCCCAAGATGGCCTCCAAGAGGGCCCCGAACCGCCCCAAGAGGGTCCCCCGTTGAGGCCCCCGAGACGGCTCCCGACGGCGTCAGACGTGCCAGGAACCCACCAAGATGGCCAAAGTTGGCTCGAAGCTGGCCCAAGACGGCCCAAGAGGCCCCCAAGAGGGCCTCCAGGAAGGCCAGAAGAGGCCTAAAACATTGATTTTCCTGAGGTTTTGACGGATTTTGACATTTCCTTCTTTTCGGCTTTCCGACGGCCCGAGACGGCCCAAGAGCCCCCAAAGATCGCCGAAAGATCGCCCAAGAGGCCTCCAAGACGGCCAAGATGACCTTCAAGATGCCCACGTGTTCCCCGAAGGCTTTCCAAACCGATTCGGGGAACACATGGTCCGATGGCTTGGCAGGTCTGGCCTCAACGTTCGGCCACATAGGCGCTTCCAAAAAGGCAGGGGGCGGCGGTGATTCGCCGTAGGCGTCTTCGATCCGCCGCCCACTGTCGATTCATCGCAGGGGTGCCTGGCGTGCCAAATTATTGCGGGTTTGGCTTTGGTTCTTTTTGTCCAAAAGAAGTCTCCCTGGGGCTTCGGCCCGTCCCGACGGCCACCCGGAAGGATGCCGAAAGATTCCCCAGAGGTGGGTGCAAAGGGTTTTTCCGTTCCAGACGGCTCCAAGATGGCCCAAGATGGCCTCCAAGACGCCTCCAAGACGGCCAAGATGGCCTCCAAGACGGCTAAGATGGCCCCAAGATGCCTCCAAGACGGCCCAAGATGCACCCAAAACGGCCTAAGATGGCCTCAAGATAGCCCAAAACGGCCCAAGAGGCTCTCAAGAGGCCTCCAAGACGGCCCAAGAGGCCTCCAAGAGGTCCTCCAGGAAGGCCTGAAGAAGGCCAAAATCATTGATTTTCCGTAGGTTTTTGAAGGATGTTCGCGTATGCTTCTTCTCGGCTTTCCGACGACCTAAGACGGCCCAAGAGGCCCCCAAGATCGCCCCCTCGGCGCCCAAGAAGCCTCCAAGATGGCCTCAGGACTGCCCAAGAGGCGGCCCAGGAGGAGGGTAGGTGCGAAATCCTCGTCGACCGTGGTTCATTATCAAGGAATGATAAACCTAGGTTCATTATCTTCAGATGATACCCTGTGGTTTATTGTCCTGTGGATGGATCAACCTGAGCCCCCCCGGCTGAATCAGTATCTTTCCGGAATAATCAACCGAAGGTTATTAATCCAACATTATGGACCACGGTTTATTTCAATCCGGTCAATACTCTCCAACACCCTCCCCCCGGCTGAATCATTATCATTCCAGAAAAATTAACCCGGGGTCAACATTCCGGAAACATTATGAACCCAGCATTATTATCTCCTGCAGATAATGAACCTGGGTCAATATTCCAACATGAAAAACCTGGTGCGGCACCCGGGCGCTGGGGGGAAAATAAACAAATTAGTATCATTCCGGAATTACAAAAACCGGGTTCATTATTCCCGGGACATGAGGAACCCTGGTCATTATTCCCAGAACATTGGAAACCCAGGTTAACATCTTTTTGGGATCGGTAGGCCCAGAACATTATAAACCAGGGTTTATAATGTTCCGGGGGGAACATTATGAACCCCAATCAATATTTCCGGAACATTAAAACCCAGGTTCATAATGTTCCGGGGGCTGGTCAATAATCCCGGAACGTTATAAACCCAGGTTAATATCTATTTGGGATCCATCCTGCCCAGGAGGCTTTCAAGACGCCCAAGATGGCCTCCAAGACGGCCCTGGAGCACCCCAAGAGGGCCCCAAGTCGGCCCAGAAAGGCCCCCCAAACGGCT